AATGTTGAGGAATAAGGCATTTATTGTGTACATTCCCTTTATTGGCAGAGAAGGTAATGTGCAGATAATTTAGGAATTTTCTACAGAAGAAAGCAGCCCTTGTGTGCCTTGGTGTATGAAAATTTTAATATAATTCCACTTCATTGAAAAGCTTACCCATGATTGTTTCTGTGTCATTTAAAAAAAAATCAAACAATACATACTTATAGTAGATTGCTAAAAGAGAGGCAGAATCAAGCATAATTCTACAAAAGATTAAAAAATTAATAAAGTTGTATATTTTATTTCTTTTTTATGCAAAAGTATACAGATCTTATATGAATGACTAATTCACTAATCTACCTGGAATTAATGGTGTTAAGCCTTTTGTTTCTGATAAGACATATAACTAGTGTCTCTGTTTCCAACATGACAAATAAATGATGTTAGACATGTAGAAATTAATGAGGCATTTGCAGTGAGGCAAATGCCCAATCAATTTTTATTCATTGTTAGGAAAATTCACAGGATTTTTGATGTATACTAGAGTTATACATTAAAACTTCCAAGATCAGGCCCTCCCTGGTGGCGCAGTGGGTTAAAGCACTGCACTAAGAAGCTTAAGTCACTTCCTCATGTGTTCGATCCCCGCCTGCCCCCCTCAGCAGTGTACTTCCTCAATCTGCCTGCTCTGCTCCCCACTCTGTCCCTGGTGAATTCTCTCACCCTCCACATCTCTGGTCTGTACCCCAGTTCTGTATGAATAAATAAATCTTTAGAAAAAAAAACAAACCCGAAGCATATAAAAAAAAAAAAACTTCCAAGATCAAATTTATGCCAAGAAAATTTATTTTTTAAATATGGATAAGCTTCTCTGTTCAAACTTAAATGTCATTTCTTGATTTTAAGGTAAGATAGCTTGACAGGGTGCTAAAAGAGCAGCAGTCTGAGAAATATGATTTACAATAAATCTTTTAAGAAATGAATTTAAAAGCCTGCCAAAGATTTTCTCAAGTAACTCCCCAAGCTTAAGTTCCAATCTTTCCAAAAGACATATGCAATAATATTTTCCTTTTTGAATAGCTTTCATTTTTTTAGAGCACTTTTTGGTTCACAGAAAAACTGAGCAGAAAGTACAGAAAGTTCCATGGACCTCCTGCTCCCACATGTGTATACTCTCCCCTACTATTAAGGTCTTCCATCAGCGTGGTCCACTGATGAAACTACAATGACATATAGAGATTACCCAAAGTCTACAGGGTGCAAAAGGATTCCTAGGGATTGTACAGTCTATGAATTTTGAAGAATGTGTAACGATATGTATCCACCATCATAATATCATACAAAATAGTTTCCACTGTACTAAAATCCTCTATGCTCTGAACAATATTTTTTTTATTACAAAAGTTTATTTTTATATCATTTTGTACATTTTTTTTTTCATCTCAATTGTAATCCCCGCGGTCTGAACAATATTTTTAAAGGGAAACATCTATATCACTTTACTGGGGAAATTTTCTAAATGATCTTTTTTTTTTTAAAGATGTATTTATTTATGCATACAGATTTGGGGTATAGGCCAGAGGTATATGGGGGGGGATTTGTGAGAGGCTTCACCCGAGACAGAGTGGGGAGCAGACAGGCAGATGGACAAAGCACACTGCTGAGGAGAGCAGCCGGGCAACACAGGAGAGGTCTGCCAGCCATGTGGGTCAGCTCTCTGGCCAGGGATGGAATTCCATGCTCAAGCGGCTGCAACTAGCTTCGTGGCACTGCGCTTTAGCCCGTTGTGCCACCAGGGAGGTCCCATGATCTTTTAATTGTTGTCTATAAGGTCCTCTACGGAATCATAAAACTCCATTTCCATGGGTCCCAGGGACTTCATGTTTCAAAACAAGTGTGCAATACTACTATAACTGCAGTGCAGTTGTAGATGCGGCTATTTTCTTTATATATTCCTCTGCACTGTGCATGTGTGAGTGTATGTGTGTGTGTGCATGGGGGCGGGGAGGGCATGCAAAGAAATCAAGGAGAAGTTAAAATCCAAGTATTTGCTATCTCTTCTTGAATGCTCTGCTTTCAACTAAGTTAACCAAACTTGCTTTTTCCTAAATAAGTATTCTTAGTAAACTTAAGGTCAAGAGTTTGGCCTTTCAGATTTATAGAAATGGGTTAATTTCAAGTTCCTCTATGTGTTAGGCACTGTGCCAGAGATTTTACAAACCTTATCTCATTTCCTCTGCTCAGAAGTCCATGAAGTAGATCCTATTTTTATTCTTCATTTTACAAAGGAGTGTGAGGCTTGGAGAGAGATCTTATCACTTGATTTGAATGGGCAACTATAGACACAGGTCTGAATCAGGAGTTGATTTTATTGCCTGAGCCTCAGTCCCTTATTAGCTAACCACCCCCCCCTTGTCAACGTCATTCAGCAGAACTTTCTGCAACAATGGAAGTACTTTTTCTGTCAGGTAGTCATGTGCCTATTAAGCTCTTGCAACGTGGTTGGTGTGACTGTGGAACTGAGTTTTTAATTTAAGTAACTGTGGCAAGTGGCTACCTTTTTGTCAATACAGTTCTAAGTCAATGGTCTCCAAATTGGGGTGCAGATAGCACAGTGAGTGTACAGAATATAGAGAGTGCAGAAAAACATACACATTTTAAATCATTATTTCTGATTTTTACATGTATGTGCTTTGTAATATGCCTAGCATATTGGGTAAATACTATATGTGTCTATACATATATACGCAAACCAGCAATATATTATATATATGTTATATGCAACCTAAATATATATAATAAACTGTATTTAATACTTATACAGCATATACCACATGCCAGGCACTATATTTTACAAATATTATTAGCTCATTTAATTTTCATAATGATGTGTAGGTGAATATTTTCATTATCTTTAGGAAACAGGTAGTTGGTGGTAAAAATCAAGATCTGAGTCCATTTTGGCTTATAAGTCTATAGGAGGGTAAGCTAAATAAGTAGAATTGCAATGGGAGAATTTGCAAACATTTTTATTGATGGCTGAATGACCAAAAATGTTTGATGACTAATTCTCTAGATGGAACCTTGATAAAGATTCAGATGCAGAATCTCTTGTCTCAGTTTTATTTATTCTTTTTTTTTAAAAGATTTATTTATTCATACAGAACTGGGGTACAGGCTAGAGATCTAGAGATGCGGAAGGTGAGAGGATTCAACAGGAACAGAGTGGGGTGCAGAACAGGCAGATCTACGAAGTACACTGCTGGTGGAGCAGTGGGGGTGCCAGGAGAGGTCTGCCTCCCCATGTGGATCTCCTCCGGGGCAGGCAGGGATCGATCTCATGCAGAAGTGGCTTAAGCTTCTTAATGCAGTGCTTTAACCCACTGCGCCACCAGGGAGGGCCAGTTTTATTTATTCTTAAAGCAATTTTTTTTTAAAAGCATCAAGAGCTGGGGTGTGGGCCAAAGGTGACATGGTAGGAGTGAGCAGATTTACCATACAGTGGGAGATAGAACAGGCAGATCTACTGAAATACACTGCTGAGGGGAGCAGCTGGTGGGGCAGGAGAGGTCTGCTGCACCATGTAGGTCACCTCCTTGGCTAAGGGGATGAACTCATGCTGCAGCAGCTGGTGATAGCATCATAATGCTGAGATTTAGCTACCCTTGCACCATCAGGGAGGCTCTTTTCTCAATTTTAAAAGGGATTTTGGAGATAATCAAGTCCACCCTTTTCCTACTGATTCTTTCCACTGATGAATGACACTCAGCAAGCAGGAGCAGATGAAATTGAGTGAAAGAGGGGGTAGGTTGATTGTTAAGGCATGATTCCTGGGGGCATTCACACTTGTCTACAGAGACAATTACAGCTGGAGTAAGTAAAGATTTACTTAATTGTGAACCTATATATTTCCCCACAAAAAAAGTTAAGCCTTATCTGTTTTGTTGTAGTTACTAATTTAAAATTTTTGTTTCTGGGACATTGAAATAGGGGAGGGTAGGAGGCCAAAGACCTGAAGGGAGCAGAATCCTAAGCAGGTGCAAAAAAAGAGAGTGGAATCCAGACCTGCTCTCCTTCCTTCTGTGCTCAACTGTGCTCAACTAAGCTCCACAACGTGCAGCTGGTTGGTGGTGGCTGTCATTCAAGAACGAAGGTAAAATATTCCGGAAATAATAGATCAGTGGGAAATAAAAATCTACCCAAATCTAACCCCCGCCTGCTTTTTGTCGTTTCCCCTCCTCCATTCCTTGTCTTAGATCAATCTTTTCAGTAAACCGCTGCTGTAGTATAAATGAAGGACAGCTTTAACCTTGTATGCTATCATTAGTTTCCAGCATGTAAGGCGGGTAGATGAAGTTTTGTGGTGTCGGAGAAAAGTTTTGGAAAGACCAGAGTTGTAAGGCTGGGAATAAGAGCGCACACTCAAAAGAAAGGGCAGAATAGTAGGGAGGTGGGGGAAGGAGCTTTATGTGGTGTAGCTGCAGTTCCTGGGGTTTTGGGAAAGCAAATCGAAGATGTGTCGGGCGGAGGAGCTGCGCTGAAGGTAGACAACAGATAACTGCCTAGCCCACCTGGGGCTTTTAAATTCCAAGCCCTTCTTTCCTGGCTGCAGAAACTTCTTGAATTTTATGAGAAGACTAGTTCAGTGGTGGGGAAGAGGAGGGCATCATCTTGCATTCTACCAGTTCCCCTAAAACTCGTAAAAAGATAATTCTTTACACGGACTTGCCTCCAAGCTGGCAAGTCAAATAAGGAGATTCCTACAAGCGCCGAGGAACCCACCAGCGCGGGGCAGCAGGAGGGGGTGTGGCTTCCACGGTGGCCCCGCCCCATCGCCCCTCCCCGGGCGCGTCGCGCGGGGCGGCACCGGCCAGGCGAGGGAGCCCGCAAGAAAGGGCGGGGAGCGAGCGTTGTGGGTGTGCTCGTGCCCGTGCGCTCGCGCTTGCTCGTGGGCGGCGGCGCGCCCGTGCGCGCGTTGGGCAGAGGCCAGCCCAGGCGGCAGTTGTGGGGTTCCACTGGCGGGGTCCGGCAGTCGCCTGCGAGCGGCTGAGCCGCCAGCCCGCTTGCCCTCCGCGTTCGGACCGCGCCGGCTGGCCCAGTACACCCTGGACCGCTGGCCCGATACACACTGAAAGGCCGGGGCGGGGGAGCGGGCAGAGTCCGCGCCCGGCGCCCGGGACGAGGAGTCGGACCTTAGCCGCCGACGCCGCCAGAGCCCGGCCGGGTAGGTGAAGCCGGGCTGGGTTTCCCGCCGGTCGCTGACGGGCCAAGAGAGGAGAAGCGAAACTTTCCGGGCGTTCCCCTGTGCGGTCCCCGAGCCGTCCGCGGCGCGGGGAGGTGTTGTCGTCGCGGGCGGCAGCGGCCGACGCCATGTTGGGGTCTGTAAGAAACGGGGCGC